TGTAAAAAAGTTAATTAAGTAAATATGTCGGCTGTCGTTCACAGTTGCGCATATTTTTCGCGGTACAAAGTAAATACTAGTCATTTTTTTTTGCATTCTATTCGTATTTCAATCATGTTTGTGAAAACCAAAAAAGATTTGCAGGAACGAGAGAATTTCTGAAACTTCCGCTTCTATAAGATTTCGTCTCAGAATTCGTGCCACTTTGTTGTTGGGTTATTTGGGGACAATTATTTTCTTGTTAGCTCGGTTATATCTGGCAACTATTGCGCCCACAGCGCAGGACCATCGGACATGACCGTGGCAGTGCTACATTCACTATGCAACACGATTGCCATAACAGTTATCAAGCATCGTGGCAGGTGGGTACACACATCGCACGGAACAGCTGTGCAGTGTAGTCACGAGAGTACATCCTGCAATGAAAATTGGCCGGCGAAGAAGGGATGCCCCTGATTGGGCTCGACGCTTTTAGTCAAAGTGGACTGTACAAGTTCAAATGCCGTGAGTCTATATAGTCATAAAGACCAAGCCTTTCCTTGTTCGGTTACTTTCGTTTTGTGAGATCTCTGCTTCGATTCGGGCGGTCACAGCAGACGTTGTTATTTCGATGTGACAGATGTGTCCGGAACGCTCTCTTTCTTTACAGACAAATGTTAGCCAATCCATGTTTCATAAACGAATTGCCGGAGTCGTGGATGCATCGAAACCATTATTTCACCAGAGCTTGCCTGACAAGAGTGACTGAATGTGCAATCGTAATATTTCCGGAGAAAAAAAAAAAACAAGACGCTATCAACAAAAAGGAATAAATAGAAAAAAGATATTTTCTTCCTCACTCATTGATACTTGTTCTTTCTGTTGCGATCTTTCTATCATAGCTACTAAAGGAGCACCAAATCACAAGTCAAAACAGAACATCAGCTTGACGCCGACGTAAACGTCAAGGGCAGTTTACAGAACTTCCTCACCTGTGGAGACTCAATCACTCTTCGACATATTGATATACCAGTCTCAATACTTGTTTAACATTGAGTAATGAATCCTCTTTTTTTTCTTGGGTGAAAGAAGTAATAAACCCGGTGGTTCTGTTTACGCAGCGTCCTGGCAAGTCATATCGACAACCGATACATTTAGTGCAACTGCAAAAAGGCTTCAAAGCAGCACAGAGATCTAAGCTACAGTTGGTAGGCATTCATGTTAAAGGACTGGTCGTGGAAACGAGCACACAAGAAAGAAGACGATACAGACGTCGACTAACTACTGAACGTAAAGGTAGCCTTGTAACCTAAAATACTACCTTTTCATAAAGTCTTAAGCATAACCAACCTATTGCAAGCACCATACATTTTTTTTCACGAATGAAAGACGATGAAAATGCAAGCCTCTGCATAAAGAAAGGAAGTGGAAATTTTAAAGTATCGTATTGCTTTTAAACACAATGGTAATGAGGTCTAACAGACGAGACTACCAACGAAAGTTTAGACGATACTACTAATAGTAAATGTAATGTAGCTGCAGTGCATATAGTCACACCATCCAACGCAGAAACATCCGTTCAGAACGTTTCCACTTTTAAAATAGGGCAAGTTGTTTGCGGTGAAATAAATGGATACAAACATGATCGTTATGAAATGTGCTTATAGTGCGGCCTGTTTAGCAGCTAAGTACGTCAAAATGCTGAGACAATATAAGGAAGCGAAAATTGCAACCCCTGTCTCGATTGAGTTCTGTTCAAACTGAACTAGTTAGTTGCGAGGTCAGAGGTACACACTTTACCAATGAAAAGAAAAACAAACAAACAAACAAACATTTGGCCTTTTTTTTGTGTTTACTGCCCACGCATATGACTATTTAAAAAGATACGCGAACACTTTTCCGAGAGTCGTGGGACCCAAAAGGGACTTAGCACGTCTCTTTAAAGGGAGGTCATATGCTAGTAGCAAGTCAGAACGGTCCGAAAAAAGTAACACATACTATTTTTCTTTCTTTTGGGCTGCAGGAAATGCTTGCCAGGTGTAAAGGAAACTGTCAGTTTACGCCAAACTGTCTCCGTCAAAGCGTTCACCGAGTGGGGTTTTTTTTTTTTTACGAATGCTTGAAACCTCGTGCAAGCGAATGCCGGAATGCTATATATATATATATATATATATATAGTCACTATTTACCGTACACCCATGTTCAAACATGTTCGAACACATTCTCTCCTTGTGTTTACCTTTAGCTAAGTGTATGCCGCTAAGTGCTGCCGACGGCAGGGTTATGCGCAAGCGACAGGCCTAACGCAGGCTGGACATGTTGCTCGAAATGGTCCCCAAGGGGGGGCTTCTTTCCTCGTCATCGACGTGTAGACGAAGCCCGATTCGATGGCTCAAACTGTGCACAAAAATTGACTCTAATAAAAAAAAACTAAGTCCGGCAGGAAGCAATGGAGCGCGATCGCGTGCCTTTATTTCCAGGAAAGTGAGCCGCAGTCGGAGCTGGCATTATACTTCGAAATAGCCATGTGCTTCCAAGACGTGCAGACCTACCTCAATGCACACAACATCAACGGGCGAAACATTTTACAACGTAACCGCAGCCAAGGGCGCAGAGAAGACTAGCAAAACGTGTTCATAGCGGGATACGCAGAACGTGATACAGCCTGGTTTCCACGCTTATCAAGAAAACTTTGGACTCGCGCACCGCCTAAAGAAAGAGTATGTGAAGGAATAGCATTGTATTGTGCGGCATTCGTGGTCGCCATGCTTTTGACGGATCAAGAATCGATCATGTCGTGTTGCACTTGCTGCGTACACCTTTCCTGCGAATCATTTGATGTAGCCAGTAGTGCGGGAGAGGGGGTAAGTTCTAGAAACATTTTCAATTTTATATGTATGTATTATGCATGCACTCGTACAAACGTACGCAGGGAGGTACACGAAAGTTATATAAACCTCCCCGCCCCCACCCCCTCCCAATCCACACCACCCTGGAAAAAATTGATTTACTGCGTGCATGTACACTGCGTGCACGTACATGTATTCTAAATTCAGTTTTCTATGTGCGATCTGATTTTTTAAATATCGATGTTTGACATATCTGGCAAAACAATAAGGTAAATTGATCGATTACTTAATTGTGTCTCAAAATGAGAACAATGCTCGCTATAAAATTTTTTCCCGTGAAACCAGAATGGGGCTTGCAACGTATTTTCTTGTTTATATCACGCACCTGTTGATCATTCACATTTTTTATGCAATGTAGGAAAAACTGCGACTAGCACGTAAACTAATGCGCACGTGTGTACGCACACAAGGAGGTTTCTTTTAAACCTCCTCGCACTCATCGAATTACACACACACACACACACACACACACACACACACACACACACACACAATCAATAGTACTTAAATTTTCTGAGAATTTGCTCATTCTTCTCATTTGCCTGGCTCAAATAAATGCTGCTTTACTTATTATGACTCAAATTTGATGGAAGTCGTAAGTAAAATACAGTTGTTCCCTTTGCAAGAACGCCTTCGTTTTTTTTTCAGTCTTTAGAGAGAGAGAGAGAGAGAGAGAGAGAGAGAGAGAGAGATAATAAACATCCTTATTTCGTTATTCTACAAGTGTCGTCTTCGGGGTGGTCTCCCCCTCCCAGGAAGCAGCACTACCTTTACAGCACCATCTTTCCGAAGCAAACATGGCATCCGTGACGTATTGGGTCAGTGAGCAGGCGTTAGTTCTCCCTAGAAAAAATGCACTCGTAGCGACACTAAAATTTACACTCAACAACGAAAATGTTTGCCTCCATTCACATTTCTCGCGTGCATAATTTTCTAAACGCTGCAACGATGTACGCGAGCAAAAACCAAAATCAGCCGCAGGCTGCCACACTACTAGTGAAGTAATACTAATGTGCGAAAGCTCCGCCTCCGCAGCCTTCGTTCCAATGTCGAGATAAGCTGTCGCCGAGTGTATACATATAGCTAGGGTGAGAGGTAGCGAGGTTTACCGGTTTCCCGCAGAAGTCATCCGCCGTTTTATTTGAGGAAAGACCATGGGCCACTTGAGACGGTAAGGCCAAGCCTCACCGCCACAATGTGGGCCTTCCGGACTGCCTTGAGTTGACGGAACAGACGAAACTTGATAAGCGAGTAAAATGTGTTTTGCGGCAGTTCATGAAAACGAACAATCTTTCCCTCAACGTTGGCATTTTTCAAAAGACATCGTGATGAAATAAAAAAAAAAGACGTCGATCTTCACTTTTCCTTATGGCTTCGGTGCGTTACGTGTTAGGTGGGTCGATTCTAGGAATAGTCTACTTCGAGTGGCTCGACCTTGCGAATGCTCCTTATTTAGCGCTACCTGAAAGGCGAAGCTTTCGCGCAACGAAAGACTGCCGGCGCATTTATCCGCTTGCGCACCGATCGTTGGCAGTTCTCACACGTTTACCATCTCACATGGAACGCAGACTTTAAACGGGACATTACGGCGACGGCAACGGCGACGGTAAAATATCGATATACAGATACTTTTACCAGCAACGGCAACAGTGTCCATATATTGCAATACAAAAGTCATTGATTTATTTGTGGGATTTAACGTCCCAAAACCACTATATGATTATGAGAGACGCCATTGTGGAGGGCTCCGGAAATTTCGACCACCTGGGGTTCTTTAACGTGCACCCAAATCTAAGTACACGGGCCTACAACATTTCCGCCTCCATCGGAAATGCAGCTGCCACAGCCCAGATTCGATCCCGCGACCTGCGGGTCAGCAGCCGAGTACCTTAGCCACTAGACCACCGTGGCGGGGCGCAACACAAAAGTCAGCGAGGTCGAGTAATACACGACGGCAACGAAAAGTCGGATGACTACCGGCCACCGCCCCGTTTCAGAGAATAGGTGACTATAAAGATCATCAACACCGTCATCATAAAAACAGGGCTCACTCAATCTAGGTGCTGTTGGCTCACTGTGCAAGTGATGAAAGTCACACAACACTGCAGTTTTTATTTCTCTCTGAAGATATTTATTTTTCATCTGCAAATAAAAAAAATACATACTCATACATTCTCACTCGCACACACGCGCTCTTAAACAAAACGATCAGATTGAAGAGAGATAGAAAGAAGCGTTCGCTTTCCTCACTGTTGACGTCATGACTTGGCTTCACCTCTATATATTTTTTTTCTAAAAATAGAGGTTTCACCGGTCTTTCCCGCGAGGTAGAGAAATAAGAAGTCTCGCTCGCGCGGTGCACCACTTACGTCGCCAAAAAAAAAAAAAAAATCTGAAAAGGAAATTTGCTGCGACGGCGTCGCAGAGTGGTCTGAACGTGTGGTAAAACATTACCGCTGCGGGTAATGACGTCAGCGACCTGGAGAGAGAGAAAGAGACGAAGCGCCTCCTTTGCCGCATATGCGCTGCGTTACAAAGGCAAGCCGTCGACCGTCCATTAGAGGGCGCTTGCTTGGCCCCCCTCGTGCAATACTTGACCCAAGCAGGGATTGCGTCATAATATGGCTGGTAAAACATTTCCACGTCGAGCACGTATCACAAGAGTTTGTTGTCACCTGACCCTGCCTGACGGTATTTGACGTTTGGATACGTTACCATACCCCGATGCGAGCACACACTTCACCCTGGACATTGCATTTGAAGAAGAGCTTTTTCTCCTCGATAAATGCGACGAGCCTGTAACTGAATTACATTTTATGAAAGCCCCGTCATTTAATATTTTCCAACAAGAGTTGCTGAACCTTCTACTTGTCATTTCGTAAACTTAGCTGGGGATGTTTCGCCCATCTACAGAGTGACGCAGTTTGAAAAATATTTTCCATTTTTATTCATACACGAAAACGTGATACAGCCTTTCTAAATAGATGCTTCGGAAGACTAGCGCTTCGAAATGAGCCTGCCCGCTTGGCTCCCATTGTGTCTAAGCTCGTGTTGGGGGGCACCTACGAATACGTTTGGGCCCTGCATGGCTCACCTAAACAAAATTTTTAAAGGGGAGAGTGATAACAGTTGCACAAAAGAAAACTTAGCCTCTTTCGTATAGCCGTGAAAAACAAGGACAAGTTATAGCGTGGAAATTTTTTTTTTGATTATGCTCGTACTACAAAGACCACGTCTCCTGCGTCTTCTTTTCACTCCTCGTGATGTAGTATAAAATAGCGATAACAAGAGTGTCTCAAGAAAGCGATAACAGATGGGGACGGCGCCCTTTGACGTCACAGAAAGCTTTGAAGTTCTTATAGAATCAAGAGAGTTCAAATTCTTGAAACAAAAAAAAAAAGGGGGCGGGATGAGAAAACAGGAGCAATCATTACAGCTTGCCAACGGCAACGTAAGACGCAAACGTTGAGGTAAAAGGCATCTCCAAGGCACCTCTGACAGAGCCTGTGAGAGAACTCGACACTATGTACAAAAGTATATAAAAGGAAAAGCGTAACCATAAGAGAAATAGGTTAGTTTGGCTTCAGAGATTATGGGTTATAGTAAAGATAAAAGAGGAGTACTCAAGGATTAAAAGCAAAATAAAATTTCCGTCCGAAGCGTCGGTCCTGCAAGCGGCTGCCAAAATTCATTTTTACTACGCTTTTACGCATCGCATGACTGACAAATGCTGTAGAAATACTATGGTACCTGCAAACGCTAGCAGAGCTCTTTGTCAAGTAGTGAGTGACCTTTAAAAAAAAAGTACGCGCTCGCCAAAGTCGGCAGTGAGCTCGACGAGATAATCGAGCGGCTTCGCATTTAATAGTAAAAAAACAAAGACAGAACTGTTGGGGCTCTTCGAGATACGACTTGTATGAACAGGAAGGCTTCGCTTGCGGGGAAATGGAATGGCGGAAGAGCACAAAAACTTCACTCGCGTTCGCCCGTTGAATACTTCGAGGTGGCGCCTAATGAGAAATGCAAGTTCCTTGTGCGACTGATAGAACATCGTCGCATAGACGATGCGCGGACCAACCTTCGCGATGCGCTTGGAGCGTGTAGGCAAAACCTACCGTGTCTGCGTAGTCACAGGCATCGGGAAACGGTCTCAAAAACAAACCACAAGGATCGTGCCTCTCGATGCCTTTTGCATGCTTATTATGGCAGCTCAGGCCTCGAATGCGATACTCAACTAGTGGCGTCCGCAGAAACAAAGTAACCGCTTCTTTTAAACCGTCAGGCTCGCTCCCGCCCTCATGTGAGGGTCCAACCAACATGTGACTTCACATGCAGGTCTATATGAAAGCAAAAGTTCGCGACAAGCTTCTGAAAAAAAAATGGACATTGCGTTGTATGCAGCTTTCGGCGCTGCAATTATATAAGTGTTCAAACAACGTTCGTGATTCTTCTAAAATGAGCGTCGCTTGTAATCAACGTCAGCAGTAACTGAGCCCCTGTTCAAAGTCATACGGAGTCGTTTAACATTTTCCATTTGTTCGCTGAAAGAGGCAGCGCAGGTTTGCTCGCTTACATGCTATTTAATAAGCACACATCTGCACCGCCGATGATCAGTCTGCTACAGTGTCCCGTTCCCCTGTCCACCTTCGCATCGCGCACGAATGAAAAAACAGTCGAAAAAGAAGAACTCGTCATCAGCACCTACGGTTAAGTCGTTCTCTCAGGCCCCGGCGCCGCATCATTGGACGGCGCCCCTGCAGAAGACTTAACACGTTATCTTCTGTCCGCGCATGCGCATGTGTGTGCACCAAAAAAAAAAAGAAAAAGAGGAGAAAAAATCGGCGAGAGAACAGCCAGTCTCCACACACAGCGAAGAAGGGAGAGAGGGAAGAGAAACGGAAGGACACCGAGCAAACGAAACGAACAACAATCAACGTAACAAAAAAACGATCGGGGACAACACTCCGAGAGTCTCTTTCACCACGAAGGGTCACAAATCGTTCCTCACGAAGCACCACGTCCTCTTCACCGTCATCGACGTCTTCAGTGAAGACGTCATCGTTTTTGACACACGCATATACTCTCGTACGTCACCGGAGAGTGGGGGTGGCGGGGCAAGACGTCTTACAAGTTAGCAGCCTTCGTGTGACTGGCCTGCGAGAGCTCAGTGGAGACGCACGTTGACCTTGCGCAGGCCGTGCTGCAGGAACGGATTCTGCGGCTTGTCCTCTTCCGCGATGACCAGGGACGATGACGTGGCGGTGGACGACGCCGGAGAAACCGGCTCGCTGTTGCCGTTGGCGCTGCTGTCGGTGCCGTTTTCGGGTTTGGACGACGTCGACGCCGGTGTGGACGTTGCCGAAGAAGGAGCGCTCGACACCGGCGCAGCAGGACAACTCAGCGTTCCCGTCAGGGGTTTGGGCCCGAGGGTCCTGCAAGAAGCAATGTATCATTCGCCACCCGCTGAGTTTGGTTTTCGCGTGTGATAACTATAGATAAATGGCAATTTTAGGTATGTAGCACTTCAGAGGCTCAGCTTGTCGACGCCCGTGCGTCTGTCATGGGGGATGACGCTCAAAATGAAGTTGCAGGAGAGAAAACTTTATCTCATCTTAACGAAAAAAAGACTGCGAGGAGGCGAGAGATCCCCCTCGCGGTAGGCCTCCTCTACCACCTCAGTCCACCTCAGGATCGTCTTTTGAAGCTCAAGATTGTAGCTCTGCATTGCACCCTCCCTCGACTCCTGACATCTTAGGTGTCTACGAAGGCTCGAGGGAGTGGAGGCAATTTTAGCTCTGCCACATAGTGTGGTTAAGTTCCGCTTTCCTGAGAGCACAAAACTCACAGTACGAATCAGGGTACATTCCGGGGTAGAATTTGTGGCGTAAGGCAGGTGAGAGGAAAGTCCGGGATTCGCACTCTGCGCCATAGAACATCACGCCTGTGCAAAAAAAAGCCCCAAGGTATGGCTAACATTGCTCAAAGCCAGTTCGAAATAAACATGATTCAGAATAATTTGAAGTACGAGCAGGAATAACCAAGAATTAATCACAATAGTTCACTGAATATCGCTGAAGTGGTCTACAGTTTACACTCGTCCGTATCATCGGTTTGCGTTTGTCCGAAGGTCAACTGATAGTGAACGGACGCGTCATCTGAGCAGAGTCACCGTAGATTTACATCGGTCACGGAACTCAGCCGCTCACTCGAAAGATGTATTTTCAACCCCGGCATCGGTGGCAGCACTTGGATGGAGATGAAAGGCTTGAGGTCAGTGCCCTGCATAATGTCAGCCAGCGCACGTTAAAGAAACCCCGATAGTCGAAAATTATCCGCAGCCCACCGCTAAGGCGCCTTCACAGCTCGAGCTTCATTGAGACATCGAACTGCATAAACACTTTATAAAAAACAGCCGACATCTCTGACAATCGTGTTAAGGCACCGGATTCGGCCACACTTCAAACCAACAAATCTTTCTCCTAGGGCAATATTTTGGCAATATGACATCAGCGAGCAGCAGACTTAAGGAGTTCACTTCGAAATAAAAAATCACCGTCGTGGCTTTGTGACGCCACGTTGCGACCCACTTGCCGAGGGCGTTTCCTGATAGCCCATCATTAACGAAATGGATCGCAGTGCCAACTATAGGCGTTCATAAACTGTGACTTGTCAGCGAGCATAAGCGAGTCAATGTAGACTTTCTCTGTGTCGTTGTTAAATATAAAGAAAAAAAAATATTAAACAGGGAAAAAAAGAATTATCGCTGCTCGCACAAGCCTGAGTCACAGTAGAGCTAAAGGCCATCTAGCTGGCCCTGACTTGGCTTGGCTTTTACCCTTGTACCTTTCTCTTTTCCAACCCTCGCTTTACTATACATTTACATATGCTTGCTTCCCTTTAGGGTCGAAGCTCCTTAAGCCACGGGTCGTGCGTCCGCAATATAGTAGTAGTGTGTCGTTGTAGTCGATAGCCACGTCCACAACCGAACTAGAGGAGCGGCCCGCGTGCACTCATTTGAATTGAGGGGGAAACCCACACACGTTAATCATAAATAAAAAAAGACAGTTCTTTCTGATAAAATTACCTACAGAGACGAGTATCGGTGACTTAATCGCCAATAAAACTTGCCTTTAATTTGATGCTTACTAAACAAAACTAGCATCAGAAGGACACACTTTGAGCAGTATGTGACCAGAAAGGGTTGCCACGTTAAACTCGCTGGGCGTAACCTCCTTGGTTTTACCAAGGTTTAGCGAGGATTGGGCCGTGGTGCAATGAACCATAGAGTTTCCTAAGATTAACTAGAGGGGACTCTGTCGCTGCGATCGTTCAGCGACATGGGAATGATGAGTAGTGCACACATTTGCCTAGTCTTCGTTCTTCCGGGCGGCGAATCGTACTTATGGCTTTGTTTATTGCTGTGTTTCAGCATTGTTTTGAAAGAAAGATTGAACTCTTTTGAACTTCGTGACTCGATTTGGAAAGGTAAGTCTAAAATAATAACGTGGTGAAGCGCAACCGCTGAACATTTGCTGATTTTTGTTTCGTGACAAAACAGCTCCAAGCCACACGAACACACACGGAGCCAAAAGCAGGCCAGAAGTACGAAGATTAGACAAATGTGTGCACTACCCATCAATCCCCATGCTCAATGAAGCGCCGTGCGTTGCAGCTCCCATTGACACTAGCGCCAGAGTTCGCTCTAGTGTATATTAGGAAACTCTATGCCATAACTAGCGGCGGTGAAAGGTGGAAACTAGACACGAAGCGCAGGCCGTAAGAAAATGCGCACATGCCACTCCTCTAGTCCGGCCGTGCCACCTGTCGTTTAGTCCTTGGAATGTCCGCTGGATGGTGGTACTTCTACACAATAAATATATGATGAAAAGATGCAAGGTGACAGTACTTGGAGTTTTCACTTTTCACTAGATGGACGGGCGGATGGACAGACAGATGCACGGACGCATGGATGACGGACGCACGAACAGAAGGATGCACGTATGGTCGCATAGACGGACGCACGTACGGACGGACGCAAGCATGGACGGACGGACGGATGCTTCGCCCCACTCATCATGCACTCCGTGGATATGCTGTAACTTTTTGTTTGTATAATTATAATTATTTCTCTTTACATAATTCTTTCTCTCTGTTTCTACACTAGTTCTGGCTCCCATTAGAGCAATAGAGTCACACACTGGACAAATAACGCACACGTTCTGGGAGCGAAGCAGAAGAGGCTTAATGACGCGCGTGAAGGTTACCGATGAGGATAATTTTTTTATCCAAGACACGCGGGAGAAGCCTCGACCATAACACACTGAAAAGACAAGTACACTACACGAACAGAATCGTTATCATTGGCATCCTAGTCCACATGACACGGACGCACCAATTTCGCACAGGTTTTGGACACTTCGTATCGGTAATCATGTGATACGGTGCCATGAGTTTAGTCGAGTAGTTTCAGATCCACCGGTCTAGGCTAAAATTGGCAGAAGCTGTTACCACGTGGATGGCGATTCCAATGCACCGTTACACCAGGAGCGTTAAAAGGTTCAGCGAAACTGTATCCTGGAGCAGCTGTGTGAGGCTGCCTCAAACCAGACTTACGATCACGTCGGCGATGTGCTGCTATGCTAACCTAAGGTACTTGTGTCCGGGGCGAGTGGTGTGGTTTCTGAAATACGATCAGCGTTTGGAAACATTTACGGTTATTCTAGAAAACGTGGGCAAGTAGCACCATCTTTCACCGATGGCAGTGGAGCCCTGGTGTAACTGAATGACAAATGAGTGAAAACAGTTATATCTGACCGCAAAACATGATTGAAAAAAAAAGAAGACGGACCTATTGTATATAGCAGATATGAACGTTCTGGTAAATTGCAGTACTAAAAATTGCGTAATTTATCAAAATAGTAAGTACTGTATATGGGGTTCCATGTGTTTCAAATAGGACGTTTTCATAGGTTAAAATCCTAGCGTTTTGTAGGGCAATGATGTGACTCGACCAAAACGTTTCAGTAGTTCTCAGTATCAGCTGAGTAGAAAAGAGAGTCCTTTTTGATGATTGAATTTTTTTCATAAGATGTAATCACCTTCTCCCTCCCCCTATTTCCCATTCAGTTATGGCATGTCACCGTTGCCAACGCTGAAAAAAGCTGCCATGTACAAATGCCTCCAAATCCTGGCAGTGTCAGCATACATATAAAGAAGCTACAAGGTCAAACACGTCCAATTGATTGATTGATTGATATGTGGGGTTTAACGTCCCAAAACCACCATATGATTATGAGAGACGCCATAGTGGAGGGCTCCGGAAATTTCCAAACACGTCCAAGCTCGAGCTATAGTGGATACTGCATAATTCAAAGTGTGGTCAGCTCCACTGTACCATCAAAATCTGATGCCTATAGTATATTTTTCTTTGGGAATATCGTGCCACAAGTAATACGCACCTGTTGATCGGTAATGTGGCATCACCATTCTTCATCAGAAGCTGTCGTTTCCAGGCAGGCACTGATGTCCACTTCTTAGCTTCAGCCTCTCTCTGTTGCAGAGAAAGCAAAAACACGACATGAGAACCCTGATGTCACAAATACCGGTGTTCGCTCGCGCCAAACTCAAGCCTATTCTGCGTGCCATCAGCCCCGGCTATGATTGGAGTCCTGAGCTGCTTTTCACCTACGTTGTATAGTTTATGCAGCAAATATGCGATCTTAATGAAAACGAAACACATCACGGTACCTGCTATTCTCCTTCCATTGACAAAGTACGGTTTATACCACACCACGTTATGTCAGTGCAACATCACTTTCTGAACGAATAGTTTTATTTCAGAAAGCAAGCTTATACGCTTGCCCGTGTTCATGACAAGGCGTTGATATACGCTGTGTGACAGTGTGAGAGAAAGCTTACTTGATCAAACTTTGCCACGTAAGCAAATCCTCTCGTGTCACCTTGTGGAAGCCTAACAAATAAAAAAAATATTGAGATTGTGTGTCGCTATCCCGCATGTGCGCATCATATTCCACACTGATGGTTCAGGAAGTGCCCGCTCGGCTGAAATAAAGTGGGTTGGAGTGACGCTGTGGAACCTGTATGCAAGTAGGCACGAAAAGAAGCCACAATTGTACAGTTCTAAGAAAGAAAAAAATAAATTGGGGGACCCTTAAGCTTCGCCTTTAAGAGTTGAACGCGATAGCGAAATCCGGCCCCTAGTGCATCCTTCAACCGCTAAGGGCATATTTACTACATCGTCTTTCTTGAGCAAGCACGTGAGAATATGTTTTGTTACATACACACGCACGCACACAAGCACGCACACAGTAGATTGACCAGTGCGCGCTATTATCATCAAATGGGCTCATTTTCGTCGTGACACCTGTAGAACAAAATGCTTTAAAGGGGCCCTGAAACACGTGTTCAAGAAACTATGGAATGAATTCACTAGAGGAGCTTATCGCCTCACAAATTCAATGACGCAAAAATTTTAAGAATCCGTCCAGTGCTAGTGGAGTTACAAAGGTTTGTCACATGCTCTAACTGCATTATCTCTTTTCTCGTCCCGATGAAAGCGCTGAAAGCCAAGCAGGGAAGGGTGGCAGGGCAAAGAAACTATCGCGCCTCGTGGCCTTGAGCACTTTTTTTTTCTTCGAACGCGCGGCTTTTTCAGTGTGATCGCGCGCGCACGCGTGGATAAGTATCCGCCTCCCGCGGCCATCTCGGTAACTTGATTTTTCCGTCACAGACGCACAGACGATTTTTCGCTCACAACCAACGGGGCCGACGCTGGTGGCGGGTTTTCTGCGACACGAGCTTTCTAACGCTATCGCGTTAAAAAGAGTGCAAAGCCACAAATGTTGACGCGTTGACAATATAGGACTTCAAGTTGCAAGGAATGCATTCGTGGGTTAGAATGGCGGCATCCTTGAATGTGGTATAGATTGATTATCGCTTCTACTAAAGGGGGCTCCGGTATAGGGCTTGTCTCTCGACCCCAGCGAGGACAAAAAATTAGGTTTCGTCTTTCCCTCTTTATTGTACAGTGAGTTGCTCATTGCACTTCACTTTTCGGTGCTTATCAATGAAATACACGAGACACTTGCATACGATGCCGTGCTCTATGCCTAGTTCGCGCGCCGGTCAACATTGAGCGCCCACGTGAACTGTGCAGACACTACAAATTAACCTTTCGGACGCCACCCATGAAGAACTGTGTGTAAAAGCGTCAAATTGCTACTACGTTACTCTAAGGAACTCGATATTCTATTGCAACAAAAATAATGAACCAATTATTGAATTTATGAGTGGTATAGAAACTTGTCCTAACTAAGCTCTAATGAAATATTTCTTTACGCCGAAGTCATAGATTCTCCCTTTCGGCATTAATAGGATAAAATCTCAGGCTAGGAATATAGTGGAAATTCATTTTCGGTGACGTCCATGGTGAGCAAAGAAAAATTCTTTCCACATTGCTCGCAGGAAGCGGCACGTCGCACGACTCGTCGAAAGTGATAATGCCTTCTGAAAAGTGACCATATATGTACCAGTACGCTGCAAAATGAGGTCAAGTGAAGACAAATTTATTACGAAGGAGGTTCAATTAGTCCCAAGAACAATATATCTTGCGGTTTCATAGCCTCTGCTTCATGAAAATAGCAAAAACGAGTGATGCACACGATTGTGTACATCACAATTGATTTTCAAAGGGTTTTAAAAGAACAACAAACTGAAAGAATGAACCGGTTTAGATTTATAAATTTTGCTTTGAAAATTCGAGTGTGGTTAATTACACCATCACAACCTCATTGAGAGAGAATAACAATGAGGTCAAAGCTTCTCTTTTCAATTTCACGCTGATATCTCCGCGCGTGACGTCACGAATTTCGAAGTGCAGTTTGCCTACTTTAGCCACATTGGCTCAACGAAATTTTCTCAAACTTGGTATGTTAAGTCTCTAGCCTCCCCCGGACGACAGTGTACTTTATTTTTACAGATCAGGGACTACGTAAGACCAGCAGACGCCGTCAAAATTTATGACGTCATGGCGATCGGTGTGAAAACTTCAAGAGTATCACCACATGCATTTTCATTTTGCGCGTTTCACTGCTTACCACATGTCTTCTAGAGGCACGTTTGGCGAGTGTGGTATTTTGAAAAAGTAATTTAATCATAGGTGAAAGTTTTTATACCTAGTGTCCTTTTACTTTTGCAAGTACTAACGCCGCGGACAGAACCCACGGATTAAAATACCACATCAAATTCTTCAGTGTAACAACAGGTGTGCTCAATTGCTCGAGATAACAGTGTAGTGTCTCGAAAAATCTGATCTCTTAAGATAATGCTAGCTCTGACGTGCGCGCTCGAGTCGAAATCACGCCGATATGACCCAAACAGAATACGTCGGAAACGAAAGTAAGTGCGTGCGTTACGTATATAGGTCTAAATTGTCCTGTTTCAATCCAGGAGTACCGTATAAGCACCGACCAATATGGCGCTACGATTTACCTGTAGCGCTTCCTCGGCCTCCTTCCGCGCCTTGTCGGCCGCCTTCTTGGCCAGCATCTGTCGCTTCCACGCTGGAATGACGCAGCCGTTGCTGTCCTTCTCGGGTATCGCGTCCACGAAGTTGGTCGCCTTGATCTGTTGCAGCAGCTCCTCGGCTTTCTTCTTCTCCTGCGCGAAACAGAGACGAGGCTCAAAGATTCATAGTTTAGTGAGAGCACATTCACGCTTCCCGAGAAATTTTCTGACAATGCACACCTGGCTCACGACTGCAGCTGAGGGGGTGACGAGGGAATTCGTCTAGTAGCGGTGGATGTGTTTAGGAAAGAAATATGTATACTATTGTGTGATGTTGGGCATAGTGCCCAATGAAGATAAGACAGTACATACAAATTAATGAGCAAAATTGACGCGAAAGTTTTTTTTACAGAAATATCCGAATCCACAGGATGTGATTAGAACCTGCTACCGAAAGGATTGGGATGTTATCAGAAACTTACTGTCTCGCAATATACACGAATTCGTGAACATTAAAATATATATCTAGCTGTTCGGGAGAATAAAAAGCTTGTACCATGCGAAGTATTTTTAAAGAAGATCAGACATTTAGAAAATACAGCATGCTAACGTAGCAGCAACCTCCTCATTTTGATGATTCCTTCATCCGTCCAAGTGTTTCTCGACTTCTGAATTATAGCACCCTATTGAATATGCGTTTACGTCCCAAAAACCACCATAGTGTTAGGAGACGCCGTATGAAGGGCTCCGAAATTTTGATTGATATTGGGGTTTACCGTCCAAAAACCACACTAGATTATGAGGACGCCGTAGTGGAAGCGCTTCCGGACCACGGGTTCGACCACATGGGGTTCTTAACGTGCGACTCCAAATCTGAGCACACTGGGCCTGCCACCATTTCCGCCTTCATCGAAGATTGCAGCCGGGGATTCGATCCCGCGACCTGCTGGTCAGCAGCCGAGTACGTTAGCCACTAGACCACCGCGGCGGGCAATATATATATAGTATGGTATATGGCACAACGGGAGCGTTGTCAACAAGGATAAATATATTTATTTCCCAACAGTTTCGGGAGGGGTCCTCCCTTCATCAAGGGATGAGTCATCCCCTGATGAAGGGAGGACCCCTCCCGAAACTGTGGGGAAATAAATATATTTATCCTTGTTGACAACGCTCCCGTTGTGCCATATCCCATACCTTCACGAAGACTAACTGGCCCATTGAATTATTACTCCCCCCCCCCACACACACACACATATATATATATATATATATATATATATATATATATATATATATATATATATATATATATATATATATATGGGAAAGAAGTGTATACCTAAGGGCTCGTTTTTCCATGTTTTGTCACAATATTAATGAGATCTAACAGACAGTAATGCCAAGGGATGTACAGGGGAAGTTATTAGAACCAATGGAATGTAAATAATATATATATATATATATATATATATATATATATATATATATATATATATATATATATATATATATATATATATATATATATATATATATATATATATATATATATATATAAGCGACCCTAGTGACACGCGCATGAGCTAAGTGCACCAATAGTGAACAATAGCAGTATCATCTTCACGGGCCACTTTTTACTGCTTAGCCTTCCAGAACAAAACGAAACCTCGTATATCATTTGTGTTTGTACCTAACACCAGAAAATCGAAGACAGGAACGTACGGACACATTAGCACGAACGCTTTATTTTAAGCGTGTATTTCTTATTGATAAGAACTTGCTAGACGACACTTTCTCTGCTATAGGCGTAGTCAAGGTTTAGCATTTCATGATAAGCTAATTTTCTAATCGGCACGATGCCACTTTGTTTTTGACTACCCCATCTTTTCAGACGTTCCATCGGCTGATCTTGAAATGCTACGCGAATACCATTTTGATGAACTGCTATGCCCGAACACATGGTCTGGTTGGCCGAATTTCGAAGGGGGCTATTTGCGACAACACCCGCGTACTTAGGTTTAGGTGCGTTAACGAACCTCACACGGTCAGGATAAATCTAAAGTTCCTCACACAATGCGTGACTCACTACCATTGCGTGCGTTTGACACGCAACAAACTATTACTACGAATGCCATCTACCGGCAGATTAATATGCACTCCAATTCACCGCTACCACAGACGTGAAAACCACAGACCTAAAATTAGCCTCAAGTGCTAGCGACATACGACAGGAAGGAATATATTTCTTCATTAAAATGCGTTGCTGGGCTATTTCACCCATGCATGGATAAACCATAGGAAGGCGGCAGAACAAAAGGCGAGGTGCACGTATCCTTGCTTCCTTGCCTTGTACTTTGGTGCGCCGCCTTCAAAGGATTTAAGGGCTGCTTCTCGTGTCGTTTATCCCTAGGCGCCTGTCGAGGCTTCTTGCCGTACTTGCGGCATCGTAATGACATTCTACAAAGAGCGCGTTCCGCGTAAGGGAAGAAAACCGAGCGGCTCACTATACATTCCGCATCTATAGGATAAGAAAATACACTGAAGCTATTCATTCTGTTTTATTGTCAGCAGACGCGCAGAGGAAACCGAAAAAAAAAAAAAAAACACGTCATCCTCTGCGCTTGCGCGATGAGTGTCAATGTTGCCCGCGTGGTATGTAGAAAGTGTCGAGCAGCAAACGACAGGGAAAGTATCTCGTCGCCATAAACGAACCACGTACGCCGATCTCGCTGCAATCAGAAGAAGGTTTTACTGCGTGTGGTACGATGAGGACCATGAAGATGCCACCCTCAGGGTCGTATGCGACGGGCGCTTTTTCGAAATGCGCATGCGACTCGTTGGATATTTGCGGCTTCTGTTGGCCAACATTTATCCGCGTCCATATGTCCGTTTAACAGGCCACTCTGTTCACATTGACGCAATCCATGGTCACGTACAGCATATAGGTCAGAGCCATCAGATTATTGCCTGCATAATGCGTCAAATTAAAAGACACGCACGAGAGGTTGTACGTAACGCCTAACAACTCTGTTATAAACAACGTGTTTCCCAATATTTTTAATGTAAACATTACATCTTGAGTGATTTAACGCATAGTTTTCATGTGTTTTAAAATTTGAATAAGGAGGAGTAAATATATTATTGCTACCGATATATGAAGGCAAAAAGCCTTTAATGACTCCGAAGTTAAAATAAAAAATGACGTGGCGTGTAATGTTGGTGGTTCATGAAGGCAAAAATCTTTAATGGCTAACAAGTAAAAAAAAAAGGGGGGGGGGACGTGGCGTACAACATTGGTGGTATGAACACGAAGGGTGCCAGAAGAATAACTTTAATTAGGTAATGTTTCGCAAGGGCATATATAGGCTTTCGCCTATGTTCCCCTAAGTTTAAGGGACTTCCAATTATTCGTATAGTCGGCAGTCAGCTAGGGATCAGGCAAGGGTGCTTTCCTGCCTTTTGTGTTGACGCAATGCACTTGAAAACAGAAACCTTTCACATCCCATCTGTCGTTCCATGTTACTGTGTCAGTGAATGTTGCGACAGAGGACTGCTCTGTCGCCGCACAACGTGAAATGCTCTGATGATGCAGTTCAAGTTTCAAGTTTATTTTAGGTATTAGTACAGAACAGGAAACATCGTACGAAATATGTATACAGGAGGAGGTCCGAAAGCAAAAGGCTGCAGGGGGGACCTTCTGTTCAAAACTGGATCACAAAAATTACTCAATTAGCAGTAACAGTGAAAACAGAGAGATTAGTAAATTGATAAAACAAAAATAATTAGGAAACCAATAAAAAAGAGGGGAATAAATAGAATAACAAGATAAAAACATCTAGTAGTTTACCAAATACGAATACATTTGTTCTTTTTAAACAAGCCACTCGTGGAGCATTGTTTGATGTGAGATGGCAGGCAATGAATTCCATAATGACAATGCTGGGAAATATGCACTGGGGCGCCCAAAACTAGTACAGCTAGTAGGTAGTAAAAAAGGACCATTTGAGCCTAGTTGCGCGCCAATGCCTCCATTAGCGGCTTGTGCCCCAAAATTTTGGGGCACAAGCTTTTAGACAGTTTGTTTACACCGCCAGAGTGCGCCTAATGAATACCACTGAGGGTCGGTGCTCAAGCCATCGTAGTGGCTGTCCCCTGCAGGCAATGAGCGTGTGCCACAAGACCACCGCTGCGTTTAGCTCAAGCACAGCACGCCCAGTGTACACAAGACAGTGAATGTCAGTTGTCCAGCCATCGCATCAGTTACTCCCACCCCCCGCCGCGGTGGTCTGTTGGCTAAGGTACTCGGTTGCTGATACGCAGGTCGCGGTATAGAATCCGGGCTGCGGCGGCTGCATTTTCGATGCAAGCGAAAATGCTGTAGGTACATGTGCTCAGATTCGGGTGCACGTTAAAGAACCCCAGGTGGTCGAAATTTCCGGAGCCATCCACTATGGCGTCTCTCATAATCACATGGCGGTTTTGGGACGGCTAAACCCCACAAATCAACAAGTCAATCAATCTGTTTACTGCCCCACGTACCTTTTCCTCCTCGAGCCTCTGTCGCTCTTCCTTGAGCTTCCGCACGCCGTGCACTCCCTGGTTTCCGATGGACTGCTTCAGCTCCTCGATGATGGTGCTCTTCTGCTCGGCCAGCGTGCTGCAGGGGCTCTTCTGGAGCAGGACGCACCGCTCTGCGAGAAACCAGGGCTCAACGAGGTCCTACGTTGTTTTTGGAACACATCATGCGCTCGGTATAACGCGAATCAGCCGAGTTGTATGTGCTCGGGGAGGGTGTGTAGTGTAACGCCGCAAATGGCGAAGGTCGCGCGTGTGTATGCTGGCACGTGGAACTGCTACTCTGGAGCGACAGTTACCGAGCAAACGTTTCCGAGTTTCGAAGACGAGCGAGTGGTTTCTTTCTCGCCTTCACTAACCTCCCTACACGTGCTGTCTCCTCCTCTCCGCTCATTCTTTAATTAAACGCGTGGTTACTGCCAGCTCTACAGGCGTTGAACTTTATCGTGACTTCACACCTTTCGGTAACGCGCAGTTATCTGCGTTTTCGCAGTAGAAAAAACGAACAAAACGCAGTAAATTGAATTGATTGTGAACGATAGTCACATACAAGACAGAAGGAGCATGCAGCCCCGCCGCCGTGGTCTAGTGGCTAAGGTACTCGGCTACTGACCCGCAGGGCGCGGGTTCGAATCCCGGCTGCGGTGGCTGCATTTCCGATGGAGGCGGAAATGTTGTAGGCCCATGTGCTCAGATATGGGTGCACGTTAAAGAACCCCAGGTGGTCGAAATTTCCGGAGCCCTCCACTACGGCGTCTCTCATAATCATATAGTGGTTTTGGGACGTTAATCCCCACATATCAATCAATCAGAAGGAGCATGCAATATAGCCTAGAAAAGCGGGGCACAGGAGACAATTCTCAACTGAGATGCCCCGTATGCGGGACCAGTCGAGAACTTATGTTCTCACGCGTTCACATGAACAGACTGCTTGTGTCACGAATTGTGCCGAAAATGGGGGAAACGCCTTGAGGAGATAAAGCGTTCGTTCGTTGTACTTTCAAAGGTTGTTTTGGGGCCCTTTGTGCAGTGTTCCGCTATCAATAAGCAGTGCCTCACGTGAGCGATTTATTCTCGCCACATGATTAAAGAGGCCATGCGGCGGTGTAAAAAAAAAAAAAAAAAAGATGGGGCACTGGGAGAGGAGGCAGTGGCGCAGGTGTGCAGCATGGCAAGCGTTAACAGGAGAGAGGGTAAGAGAAGGCAGTAAATTGAAGCTCTTCGAAGCTTTTAGTGTGTGTGAAGAAATGAAGTTGTTGGCAAGGCATAGCGCTGAAGATGAATAAAAGTTTGTTCGCTCACTCATCCATTTGCTCACTGCCTCACTCCTTCATGCTCACATGGTGGCCTCCCTTTTAAAAGCACTGCCACGTTCAACTTCATTGGGTGAGAGTTACTTCTAAGGCGCGTTGGTTGAGCGCTCTTAGATTGAGCGAGGTCACCCCGAGGCAACGATTTGAAAGGTAAGCAGCGTATAGTAACACGCTATGCCAGAAACGATACTGGTCTGCGATACCAACAGCAAAGTTACGTGATTTCGCCTACTCGCTCAAAAGGCAAAGCTTGATGCGCTCGCAGCAGGAAACCAAAACGCGAGTCGATTAACGATTTTAAGTCAGCCTTCAACCGACGCCGTCATCGTGCAATTTGATTTAACAATAATGTGCACTTTCTGTAAGAGTACGAGCTGCCGTGGATACAGCCTGAGTGCCGGATGTAAACTATCTTATATAAAAAAATCAGCATTGAAAAAGAAGATGCCACGTGATCATAACACAACCAAGCATTTATATGGTAAAAGGAAGACAGCGTGCGGCGGACTCGAGCCTACTTCCGCACGTACCTGGAAGGTACGAAGTTCACTTTGTTCACCGATCACCAGGCACTCACTCATCTCTTGAATATGACCCAAACTAAAGGGCGTATCGCCAGATGGGTGAATTACTTGCAGCAATTTGACTTTACCATCTCGCACCGACCAGGACCGCTTTTAACCGATGCAGATGCTCTATCAAGATTGATGGTACAAAACAATACAGAAAAATCTGAAGAAATCAATGAAGTGAAGCTGTGGGAAGGCTCAGAACAACTGGTTTTTACGGAAGGTCGGTATCAAGTCCACCAACTCTTGTTTCCAAAGTGCTTTACTTGTACCACGATAGCCCAGAATCTGGAGGACACGACGGCTTTTGGCGTACCTACAACAAGTTGGTCAAGAGGTTTACGTGGCCTCACATGAAGAAAGACGTTAGTCAGTACGTTCGTTCATGCCATGTGTGTCAAGTACACAAAGTCAAGTATAAACAGCCTACGGACACCATGATACTACCTTGCCACTCGAACGTGCCTTTTGAAGTAGTTCACCTGGATTTCGCCGAACTTAACAAGAAACGGGAAGGAGTCAGAAAAACGCAAGCTTTTCTGCTGGCCATAGATGAATGCACCAGGATGGTCGCGGCACGAGCAGGAAAAGAAGATGCAAATAGCGTCATAACCCTTCTCGAAAGGGACATGTTTAGAACTACGCGGACAATCGTATGCGATAACGGCCCCGCGTTCAAGAGTGAAAAGCTAGTAAGATGGGCTCGAGATCACAATGTATCGATCAAGTTCTGTGCGCCATACCATCCTGCGGCGAATGGGCTTGCAGAAACGTGCCATACGGGACGTGAAACAATACATCAAGATGTACGATAGTTTTCCTGGGGGATGGAAATGTTCTTTAGAAGCAGCCGTAAAACATCATAACCGATCCTACACCAGTGGCTTGGGGTGCAGTCCACAGTACGCTTCTACAGGAGAGACCCCTATTCTGCAGGCAGACCGTGAGTTGGGACTCTTGGAAAACCTCAAGATTGTCGAGGAGAGGCAACAAAAATCACAGGAGGAGAGGTACCGAAACGAATGAAAAAGAATTTCGACAAGAGGCATCGAGCAGACATGCCAGACATTCAAGTCACCGACCTCGTACTAGTGAGAAAAGGAATAAGAGATTCCAGTGCCAAATTTTATGGGCCTTACTTTGTGACCAAGACAGCCACCCAGAACGGAATTTGAAGACTGTCTGGTACACTGGTGAACGTGGATCTGTTGAATGTGCTTCAATTGGGAATGTCTTCAAGTATTACCCCAGGAGGGGTAATTAAAAGAAAGCGGGAAGGGTGAAGCGGTATGAGCCTTTGGACAGAAGATGAAGAAGCGCGAGGGCCGGGGCAGGAAAGAAGAGGAGGATGAAGGAAAAATAAAGCAGATTAAGATGGACGCCAGTTCCATACTGAAGCTTTAATGCTGTTCCGTTATTTTAAGTAGGAACACTACATAAGATATGACACTTCTTTCAAAGGAGACATTTTAAAGATTTAGATGGTGTTGCTCACTTCATTGACTTCGCTGACAGGTGGACCTGCAATGGTCGCGGCACATGTGCCCGCAGCACCACACTGCGCATATAAATGCGTAATCGACGCTCTTTCACTCACCCAACGTGCTCGGCTTGTCCGTCCTCTTCAGTTGAACATTTTGCAGCTGCTCCTTGGTGATGGAGAAAGCACCGCCATTCGGCTGAGGGGAACACGGGGTCGACGGAATAGATCGCGGTAGACTGTTGGTGCTGCACGTGCTGCTGACGTCGCCGTTCGTGGCCGTACCACTGCCGTGAATCTTCTCTTCGCAAAGCGAAGGGGTGGGCGAGTCGTCACCGTTCACGCTACCACTGCTAACGCTGCCACCGCATAGGCTTCCATTGCCTAATTTCGAACCGTTGAGACCATTGAGCCCATTGTAGAGCACGCCGTGACCGTTAGTACCATTGTGCGGGCTTCCAAGACCGTTCGAGCCCGTTCAAAGCCTTGGCGACGTTGGCGATGCTATTAGACAAGGGCAGCGTCATGGAATGCGCCGCGTTCTGTGCCGCGGAAGCTGCCGGAGGGGTGTCGAGGACCCTTCCCAGAGGCTTCTTAGCCGCTACGCCATTTTCTACCTTGAAGTCCTTGTGCGCCAGGTGTGACTTGGGCTTGTTGGAGACCGTCTTGAGGTACTCGGAGGGCTTGAGGTTCGTGTCCGAGTCCGGTGGCTGCATGAACTGGGGCGGTATGAAGGACATTGGCCTCTCGAACAACCTCGGCAGAGTCCTTTCTTCGCTGTGTGTTGTGCTCGTGGAGGATGCCGTCTCGTCCGTGTCCGCGTTGGACGAGGTCTCCGAGCGGTCTCCATCATTGCTTGTGCCCAGCGACCCGGGTCTCCTTAGCGTGCTTTCTGTGGAGCGGATGTCGAAACCCTTTGGAAGCGGTGGAGGAGGTGGGGGCGGCGACAAGACTGTGCCCACGGGTGGTGGAGGCGGAGGCGGGGAAGGCGTCACGGGTGACGTCGCCAAGGAAGAGGTAGACGTGTCGGCGGCCTGATTCACCGGCCTCATTGACTTGACCAGCTTGTCTTCCTTGTAAGTGGACACTGTGCAGATGGTTTCGTAGTCCGAATCACTGCTGCTGAGTTCGGCTACGGATGCGTCGCCGACGGAAGCCACTGATGGCGTCGGTGCGGGAGGCACTTGAAGCTGGAGGAGTGATCAGTGACAGCGTGGATGAAGCCTTCTTCATGCCGTTCTCGAAGGGCTTCTTGACTTGGCCACGGGGCTGGCCGGGAGAAGACGACGACGTGTGGCCCGGCGACATCTGGGAGGACTGCGATGACTGCTGCTGTTGATGGTGCTGTTGGTCGGCGTCCAGAAGGTCGGCCAGCGAGGAACACTTGTTGCGCAAAGGGGGAGACGAGTGCGGCATGTCTCGCAGCAGCGCGGATCCTGGAGTAGGCCGAAGAAGCGCCTGCGACGGGAACTGCGTGGAAACAAATCCAGTTTCAGTTGATTGAAGGAATGAAAAATGTTGCACAGGCAATATGAAACTCCAGTGGCAAGCATTCGCAGTGGTATAGTGCACACCCTTTAGTCATCACCATGGGCACTCGCGCGCATCTCGTTCGGCAGCACTGCGCATATATATGCACATGTCTGTCCATAAAGATAACTTGGCGTTGCGCGCAATACCATTGCTAATGCTTGCCGTTGTTCGAGATTCAACTGACGGTGATAGTACACCGAGTTCTTGTTGGACCCCTTAGATAGCCTTAAATATAAACCAACATCTAGAACGAGCAATCACGCCATTAAAAGACCGAAGTTCAGTCGAAGATGGAAGCTTCAGTCGAAGTTCAGTCGAAGATGGAACACTGGTTTTCACTGGAACCGACATTCTGATAATCGCGGTTTTTTTTCTACTTCGCGACAACCCGTGCTCAGAATTTTTCATCTCGCTAGCAAAAGAAAGAAAAATGTGACAAGCACTGTCTTTGTTTTATTAAAAAGGCCCCTGAACAACCTCTGAGAATACAAAGACCACCTGCGTTATTCTCTCTCGCTGTCTGTCATCTTTGCGGCACGACTCGTGACGCCAGCCGTATGTTCACGTGACATCACGATGACATAAGCTCTCGATTGGTCGACATACAAAAGATGGCTGTTGTGACCTGTCATTTACTCTGCTTTACCACGCAGTCGCATGCCCGTTCTGCCCTGTCTTGCACGACAATCTTACGCGCGATAAACTGACGCCATTCTTTCTGCGTTTGCGACTGCGCAAGCGGAGACATCATCGTGCAGAAGAAAAGCGGGAAACCCTCCTGGCTGAACGTTTAGAGCTGATGTGTTTTCGGAAGAAGTAAGTGGCAAGGATCGAGACAGCGCTAGTAGTATGGGCAATGAAGGCGAAAGAGAAACTTCTATCTCGCTTTTGTACTCTGTGTGATTTAGGGACCATTTAAAGTGGATTATGATCTCGTTTGGCACAAGAAGCCTTGCACCTGTTATCTTACCTTCGGCGAGTCGCTGATACCGCTGGAATTGGAAGAGAGCGGGGATCGAGGAGATGATGTCTTGGAGACGGGCTTAAGCACTACTGGAGATAGAGTGGTCCTGTTGCTGGCCGCTTGCTGTTGTTGTTGCTGCTGCTGCTGCTGCTGCTGCTGCTGTTGTTGTTGTTGTTGTTGTGGTTGTTGTTGTTGTTGTTCCTTCAGCTGCTGCTGTTGTTGCTGTTGCTGTTTTTGCTGTACAGGCTGCTGGGTCGCGGCCACCTGCTGATGCGCCGGCTGTTGACACGCCGGTGAGTGCTGCGGCGGCTGCAGCGGTGGCGGCGGTGGCGACTTGCATTTCATCTGCGAGCTGTGGAAGATCGTGGTGCGGCCGGCCATGTCGTCGTCCTCTTCGGGGTCGTCGGGACCCCCGGCCACCGAGGAGGTGCACGAGGCGGCGTCCGGGGAGGGCGCCTTGCGCCTCACGCTCTGGGGTGTCAGCGACGCGGCGTCCGAGTCGCGCTTCTCGCTGCACTCCTCTTCGAGCAACGTCGCGTCGTCCTGGCAGATGCCTTCGTCGGTGCTGGCGCTCGAGTCACACGAGCTACCGCCCCCGGCACCCTTGGCCTCCTCGGTCTTGGCGCTGCTGCCGAAGCTGTCAGGGCTGCCGGAGTTGGTGTCGTGTACCTCCGCAGTGACTGCGCAAAACAAAACAAAGAAGCGCATTAGGCAAGCTAAGAGAGAAGCAGAGCAGAGAGGAAAAAGCAGGATGGTAACTAGAAAAAAAAAAAGCGGTTTTCTACGCTACACTGAGAACAGTTTTGTCACACATGAAATGAACAACACAATACCCGCTATGACTCTTGAAAAAATACACCAGAGCGCCTTCGGTTACGATGTATATATGTACTTTACAAAAGGTTTCCTCTGGTAAATGTCTTTGGTCAAAGGGTAATGGTGTCAGTACGTTATACCGACGACAGTCACACAAGACGGGAATCTCCTTGTGACCAGGGTACAATATTAGAAAAACGCACGTTGTGAAACATCTAGTATCCACAGTACACGTCCTATTCACGTCGATTAGCAACCGACGATGTTCAACCGGCCAGCTTTCGAAGTGGAAGCACTGGTTGTCACCTACTGAACCAACTAATATTCAAAATAGTGGCACTTCTCTTATCTGTATCTACGTTAGTATTAGGTGCCCCCAAAGGACACGGTGTGAAACTATAGGACGTTGCAGAAGTCAGCAAACTAGAGAGATAGAAAAGGAGTGCGGAAAGGCAGGGTGGTTAACCGGGAAGCAAATATCTGGTTTGCAACCCTGCACTGGGGGAGGGGTAAGGGGAGACAAAAATGAGGGTGCTAGATAAGGAGGGAGGTGACATATTATGCATAGCGACCACCTTTTCTGACGGCAGCCAACTTCATGGTAAAATTAATGCTTTCGAGATGTATATAAATCAGTGAGTGTGCGAAACGCACTTATTTTTACCGGGGGCGTCTTAAGATAAGTCGTCTGTTTTGAGCCACTTTATACTTCGATCAATCATCCCGCTTTATCTGATTAGCTCATATATACAGGCGGTTCAACGCTGCATGAACTTTAGGCTGTGAGCACCCGCTAACGTTCTTACGTTTCCGTCGATGATGACAGCTGCTCCGCGATACAGCCGAGGCAGCGGGGAAAGTGCCCACCGAAAACGTAATGGATTTTGCAGCACTATAAAGGTGAACAAGGTAAACGTTTTTTTCATTGGACTGATGTACTGCAGTGGTTGGTGACTTCCAAGGCTTCTCGCTTAGCAAGAATATGCAAAACATTGAGTGCAAAGACGCAAAACATATGACAACCTGGAAGGCCTCGTGTGTGAGGGCACTGCGAGATAACGTACGGTACGCACCTGCCGTTCTAAGTTGCACGCGTGACACGAAATTAGAGGGACACGAAGAGACACATGCGCACTTGCGAACGTTTGCATGAATGCATCTGTTTAACGATGTAACACCAACTCTACAGCATCCTTTCTTGCTCTTTTAAGTGATACAGCAGCGTAACCCCCTTTAACAACCACAAACGCATCCTCTAACCGTGTACTGAGCCATAATGTCACTGTCACGTTATCCACAGTATACCACAACGCCTATACGCAACGTAACGATTCTTAGCCCGCGTTGGTGAGTTTATTATTATGAAAATTAGAAGTACATTCATCGGCCCAGTCGGGTGACCATGCGACTTGACAATTCCTATCATGTTTCTACCCCCAGGCGGCGTTCCCTTCATATCGTCAATTTGTTAGCCTCGTTGTTTTCGATCAGAGCGTTTTAGGTAAGAGACGAGGCTGCTTTCATTTCAAATCGAAGCTAATGTCCGGCCCACTAGGAGCTTCGGTCAAAATTTTTTGATTATTAGGCATTTCCTTTATTCTGGAACACTCAACAATCTGAAAGGCAACAGCACACATAGACACTAAGGAAGACTACGCAAGAGCTGTCTCGAGTGTTCTTCCTTCGTCCCCGTCTACGTACGCTGTAGCCTTTCATGATGCAATGCCAACTCGCCCACAAAGCCATCCTCGAGAACTGAACAATAGACATAGCAAATAAAACTCCGGTACAGAGTAAACGCTACATGGACAGGTATCGTTTTGTATATATACAGACGATCGTAGTCACGGATACAAATGCTTCCCCATACATCTGACTGTGTTCTTGCCATCGCGGCGGTTTCGAAGAGCTCGTGGCCTTGTGACATCGTGTATAATGCCGTGTACACGAACGGAACAGTCACAATGCCACCGGCTAAGGACACCACGAAAACAGCTGTGTTTCAGTTCAGCATGCGCGGACAGCACCGTGTTTTTTTTTTTGAAAAAGAAAACAAAAAATGCCCTGACACGCACCGGATGCGCTCTGACTCGTTTAGCGTGAAAGTTCACGGCGCGAATAGGTGCCCGAGTGAGCCATTGCGAGCGCTGTGCGAAGTGACGCGCTAAGCCAAAACTACGGGAGGAACATTTGCATAGAATTGCCGCTAAAATGAATTGTGGTAGACAGTTCTGGTCGCATGGGATGCTGCCGACGTACGACCGGCCATGGTAAAAAGAGTTTTCGGTATTTCTCGCACCTTCTTGATTGATTGATTGATATGTGGGGTTTAAGGTCCCAAAACCACTATATGATTATGAGAGACGCCGTAGTGGAGGGCTCCGGAAATTTAGACCACCTGGGGTTCTTTAACGTGCACCCAAATCTGAGCACACGGGCCTACAACATTTCCGCCTCCATCGGAAATGCAGCCGCCGCAGCCGGGATTCGAACCCGCGCCCTGCGGGTCAGCAGCCGAGTACCTTAGCCACTAGACCACCGCGGAGGGGCATTCTCGCACCTTCTTATCTCTCTGCAACCTCTTTTCTCCCCTTCATCCCTTCCCCAGTGCAGCGTCTGGTTAACCTCCCTGCCTTTCCTTGCATCGTTATCTCTCTCTCTCTTTCGCACGTGATGTTGCTAACGTACGCACGGCCATGAAAAAATAGAAGACCGGTCGAAACGTCGTATCCAACAGACCTCCTGCTCCCATTTTTTTTCTGCATTAGTAATGCACAGTGTCGTTTATGGTGTCTTTGATGTCTTATGGAACACGATGTGTGCCAATAGGTGGACCTCTGGTAAACCGCCAATCTGAGAGAGTGACCCAATTGCGCGCGGCTGTGCACGACTGTGGCCACGGGGTGATATACAACACGTCAGCTAATATTTAAAGAGATCGGGTACATTCGATCAGGCCACTAGAGCAAATGAATGCTACGCGAATGAATTTTTTGTCGCGATACTCTGATATCGGCGATTGAACAATGCACTTGGAAGAGATGGACAAAAGTAAAAAAAAAGAGGTGAGGTTTTGTTCTCGCTTAAGCAACACGCGATTTTGAAATACGAGCGATTGCATTCAAGGAAACCAGCTATTGGTATAGGTTGCACAGCTGCAGCCGACGATGGAGCTGCCGAGCAAAAAAAAAAAAAAAACAAATATATAGATAAAAGGAAAACGGGTGTGTAGCCTCGGCAGAGCAACTGCGAACAAAAGCTAAAAGGATTGTGTTCCTCCTTTTCTGCGATATAGCGGCCGTGTATACAATGATGACAGGCGCGGGGCCGGCCTCACACTTCCAGCCTTTCCACTATCAAGCTTTATATTCTTTCATTTCTGGCCGCTCCATATGCTCCACTTGTGCGCTTCACGACAGCAGCTGCAGGCTGACTCAGCCCGGCTTGCCTCTGTGACTTTGCCGACGCCTCGATTTTTATCGAGCGTTGTCGACAAGCCCGTTGTTCTACCCGTGATCGCACAGAGTTGCCACGTTAACCACTCATCACTCTTGGTGTAGTGTACCTTAGATGACGTTGTTGATTCGCAAAACGAGTGGTATACACAGTGGCAGCTGTCGCGAAACGAACCCAGCAGACCCCTTGCCACCGTTATATTGACGTCGAATAGTTTTCGAGCGCACATGAAAGAAGGAAATGACTATAAAGGAGCATCACATGGTTCTGCTAGCCTCGGAAGGTAAACTTCTAGTGACGCCTCCCCACCAGGGCGCCGTGCCTCCTGGGTACAGATAGGACTAGCGCAACGCCGCCACCCCAGAGAGCTGATAAGTGGTAGCGCTTTGTTATCACGTCATCCGGGACTCCTTTTCTTTTAGATTTTTATGACGCTCCCATTCTAGTTTTTTTTTCCTCCATGCGAGTTCGAGGGTGGAAAAGAAAGACGATAAAAGATAGGGAGGAAAGAAGAAGAAAGGACAGAAGGTATAAAACGAAAGAAGGTAGGGGAGTTAACCAGGTACACGACCGGTTGGCTACCCTACGTTGAGGGAAAGGAAGTAGAAAGATGAGGGAGAGAGAGGGAAATCAAAGTAGGAAAGGACCAGCAGCCCTGACGCGCATGATGTGACGGTGCTCTAGACCACTGAGAGGCAATCCCATAGGGCTGTAGTCCACAAAAAGCCCTGAAGTGGACAGACAAATAAACATAGAAGAAATAAATAGAAACGCACATACTAAAATTAATAAAGAGAGAGACCAAGCATAGCCATCCATAGTATAATATAGTATTGTATAGAATAACAAGGCGTGAGAAAGGGACAGGTGAGAGGGTAAAAGCCTAACAAAAGAAGGACCCGCTAAGTGCCCACCAGCTACGGTGACGCAGCTTTGCGCGACTTACTGAAAGCTGCGCTCACTATGCGACGTACCGATAGTGAGCGCAGCCACCTAGCCACCTCGACAGTCATTATTATTAACAACTCCAGCTGTTGGCCTCTGCACGCAAAGAAGGCGACCGATGACCCCGCCGCGGTGGTCTAGTGGCTAAGGTACTCGGCTGCTGACCCGCAGGCCGCGGGATCGAATCCCGGCTGCGGCGTCTGCATTTCCGATGGAGGCGGAAATGTTGTAGGCCCGTGCGTTCAGATTTGGGTGCACGTTAAAGAACCCCCAGGTGGTCGAAATCTCCGGAGCCCTCCGCTACGGCGTCTTTCATCCCCATATGGTGCTTTTGGGACGTTAAACCGCACATATAAATAAATCAGAAGGCGACCGATGAGCTGCACGGGAATCCCGACGCGACAACCACTCGTCGATGCAAAGCGAGACGGTTGACGTGAGCCTATCGATCTTGCTGACTTGC